GGGGGGATTGGACCATGGCAGCAAATCAGCTCCACTAAGTGGGTTAAACTACTAAAAATAACCATTAAGTTTTCATTGACATGGGGATTAGTTTCGCACTACGGGATTAAGTTCTGCATTCTGATTTTTCACTCCACCAGGCAGAACCAGATATTAAAAACCTCTCACCTAACATTTGAGAATTGGCCCCAGAACATATCAGACCCAATATGAGGAATATGATAAAAATGCTTTTGATTCTTACCTAATTCGTGGGTCTGGTATAGAACCTTACGACGCTTGTCGTTCTTGGAGATGTTAAATTTCTGTGCAAGAAGAGGGAGAAGCTCTTCTACTGTTACTTGGTTTGTTACTTGCAACACTTTAGTCATCTTATGACGGCCATCTTCCAGAGAGATATGTATTGGTCCTTCATAATCTAAACCCTTGAAAATAAATTTGAATTGATACTATAACAAAAGCATAAACGTAGGACAAACATACAAGATTAATTAAATTTTGCATCACACATGTTGTACATATTATTGGTTTCAAGTCCTGTTTCAAGTATACAGGTCTTTTCATATATATCAATGTACCTTGAAAATTTATTGAAATGTTCTAGAATAGAAGATATGAAAGTGATATCCCATGTAGTGGTGACTCCAGAAATTTGTCAGAGATTGTGCAACACACCATTTATTTGGCCCTGATTTCGAGGATGTAAACATCGCCTCTTGCCATGACTAATCAGCCAATTGATTTCTGGTGTTTTTTACATGAATCATATCAAATGGTGTTTCCCACACTTATTTATTGCCAAAATTAACGAGGTATCTGCATTGATTGAATCATTCAAAGAGTGCTGTGCCCAGATTCAACATGTATTGTTATTATAATTACAAGCTGTTTGGTAGGTAATTAATAAAAACATTGAATATGATATCAGTTGTCACAAGTAGCCATATGACTATCATAGTAGATGCAGTATTTACAGTACCTTTCCTTTTCCATGAGAATTGTTCAAGATATTGTTACCTTCCTACGAACACATTCAAGATATTCGCTTTTAGGATTTCCAAAGAAATGTTTTTGACAGGCATCAGTTATTCCCCAACTATTTATAAATTTTATTCATAATTTAGGTGACAGTTGCCTGCAGTTATTAGAATGGAGGGGGCCTAGTATGATGCAAGCAGTCTACGTATACAAAGTAGCATGTTTCTTAAGTTGTAGCATAAAGGGCACTATTGATTCCTTGAGACTGGGATGTGACAATACATTTCTCCGATTACTTTTAATGACAACCTGGTCAGATAGTCAGCGAACTAGCAGTGACCAGTTGTTAGTTAAGTTCATGGTTTAGCTCATTTGGCAAAGTCAGTGGTGGTGCCAGGATTTTCCCGACAGGGTTTCCAGATCCCCGACAGGCAGGGGGTGGGCAATGTTCCCGATGAGAGAAATGTTGGTATGGTCAGGCATCGCTCAAAATCTTTTGAAAGTGGTCCCGGGTGGGGAAAATTCCCCCAAAACTATGACCATTAGTGGTTTCAATGGCTTATTTAATGGACGGTTTTAAGGAGGTTGCTGGTTCCCATATAGCAGCATTTAGGTTTCTTTACTCCACATACTGCGCTTGGTCGGCAAGGAAGGGTGTACCAGCAGGGGGACCAGGGGATACCCCACCGTCATGGAGAGCTCAGTGGTGGTGCCAGCGAGGAGCATGGTGGGCATTTGCCCACCTGTTGGACAGGCACGGACCCCTGTCTGTAGGCCGAAGAACGACTAGGTCGTCAGACCAAAAATTTAAAAAAATAATTTGCCTATCCAAATAACGCTATTTTGATTGCCAATCCCTACAGGTATTGTGATTTAAAAGCACATTAGGACAAAATTAAGTCATAAATACTCTCCCCATGAACCCTAGCTAACAGGGATTTTTTTATTCCGGGCCGTCAACCAAGGCTTCATTGGCGCATTGGTTTGGACCCCTTCGTCGGCAAATTTCTGGAGCCACCGCTGGGAGGGCTCCCCCACCCCGTCGTCGGGGAAAAACAGATTTGTCAGAGAAAAAATAAAATCATGCATTTGACTCTAAAATCGATTTGATTGGACCAACTTCCGAGATTTTCAGCGACGCCAACTTACGTTCTCGTCGGGAAAATCGGACCACCCACCCCATCTGGCAAATCTTGGCGCCACCACCTAATTTTAGAAAATAGATATTGGTTTTTGTTTTTACCTTTTGAAGCACTGTAAACGGTCCTAAAAAGCCATTTCGTCTGTTATATACTACAATTTTTTCACTCAAATGTTCATATTTAGCTTTATCTTCGATGTCTGCTTGTGGTGAGACAGACAACTCACCTTCGCTGTCACTACTAGCCTGTTTGTGGAGTGACCTCAGGTGGGCAAGAATTAGTGGGTCTGTCAACATGTTCATCCCCGAACGCTTTCTACCAAACAAACCCTCCAAGTCATTAACATCTCCGCCGCTGTCGATCAAACGTTTTACGATACCCTCACTGGTCATTGTGATTCTCAAGACGGATTAAATCATTTCGTAAATTAGCATTCTGGTATAAAAACGTATTTCCATTAATTCACACTGGAATAAAAGAGGCTAGACAACTTGATAAGACCATGATAAGACTTACGCACTGGCCCGCGAGAGTTACTGATTGTTCGTATGGCTAGATTCACTGCTAAAATAAACACAGTCATGCTTGAGTGATTCTACATAAAAAGTTCGTTTTCTCCTTCTCCTAGTTGAAGTTATGCAAATAAAATTTAGAAACGATCAAAAAGAGTAGACAAGCCAAATATTGATGAATGTGAAAGGAAACTATCTTGCCATCGGCACATCCATAAAATAAAGTTGGAGGTTTGTAACCAGTTTTATTACATTATCGTCTGCTCGACACAAAACTAGATAGAGCTATAAAATCAGCAATCCGAATCACGACTGATATAATCAGTCTAAAAGTTTATATATATGTAATAATATGTATAACAAACCAAGGCTGCTGGAAGTGAAAATCATGTACATTACGTCAAAAGAATAACATTTAATACTTCCGTTTATTTATTCAACTCATTTCAATTAAATTCATTTATTTTTATAGGCATTATAAATTACCACAACATGACGAATTGCGTAACATACGAAGCTTGAATAATTGAACATGGTAATCAGACATGCATGGGGGTGGCGGGGGTGAGGGACGCGGATGCATAACCGATCCACGAGAGCAAATTAGTAGCTTATAAAAATTGTAATGGGCCATTGAGTTTTTACTGCATTCTCAATTTTCGCACCAATCAGAGGCCAAAACCAGCCTACACTTAGAAAGACAATATTTAAAACATAAGGGCAGATAAAATTCAAATGAATACTGTATGTACATCTAAGAATATTTACACAGCAGGCCCATAGCCAGGTTCTTCCAAGGGGGGGGGGGGTTTCTGGGCGCGAGGTCCGTCGAAGCCCCGGTGGGGTCGGCGAAACCCCAAAAGCAAGAAGATTTTTGTGCTTTATGGGTCTAAATAATGCTATAAAAGCAGATATGTTTGAAAATGTCTGTGTTTGGGTGGGTCTGCAGTGCATTAGTTGGGTTGGAGGACTTATTTAGGAAATTTAAAGAGGGGGTTTCGCCAGAAAAGAGGGGGTTTGCTAGAAAAGGGGGTTCTCCCGAACCATAAAAACCCCCTGGATACGGGCATGCACAGGGTAAATTACAGAAGGTGAGAACCCATAGCAACATAGAGTTAAGAATGGTCGCTTACCAACCGACCCAAAAACATAGAGCAAGTATCAAGAAATATGTTAAACATTCATATAAACGTGAAAATGGTGTACAGCTCCAAGTATGAGCAGGAGAACTAAAATTTGTAAATCATCGACTAAATTCTGAAAAAAAATTGTGGTTATTTCTTAAGCCAGTGTTCAAGCACTTTTATCAGGAATATACCCTGAAGACAAGAGATCTTATAACATAAATATTGATGAGTTAATAATTACTAGATAGTATAATACTCCAAGTATCGAAATGCACGCCATCGTGTCGGGATTCTGTATTTCGACATATGTCATCATCAGACATAACTAATGTCGAAATATTGAATCCCGACACGATGGCGTGCATTTCGATACTTGAGTACCGGTATGTATTATACTATCTTATCTGAGATAAATCAGTGGACCTTTCGGTTTTTAATAATTACAATACAGTAATAATAATAGTAATATTAACAATAAAGCAAGAAACAATTTGGCATTATCGGCAACGTAGCATAAAGCAGAACAGTACATGTCACATTAATAGAGGATAGTATTTTTACAAATCAATTTGTCTACTTTCGTATATCGCGCCTAATAATAATCATAGGCTAATCCACAAATTCAATGTATACCGTAGTCTGTCGGTTAGTGTCTACCAACATTTTAGGCAATTAATACATACGGTAAACTACCAAATTGATATTTTTTCGCAATCAAACAGCCTGTAAACATTTGTAACAAACAATCGCATTCTCGATTCCGCCGGCGAAACATCGCTTAGCACTTTTCTGTACATGTATACAGCAATGAAAACGTAACTTGGCCGTTGCGCTGAAATTCTCTCGCAGTGCGTGTGCCGCCGTAGAAATGTTCATATATAAATTCGCTTCGTCGTTGTGATTGTGATTATTTTCTTACATAACATAGCCACAGCGTTCACAAATGTTAAAATAACGATTTACGAGTTCAGAAAATGATGAAGTGCATTTAGCAACATCGTATTTCAGAAAACGCACCATTGTGACATGAACGGAATATTTTATCGTGATTGTTAAAACGTTGAATAGTTATGATAGTATAATACTCCAAGTATCGAAATGCACGCCATCGTGTCGGGATTCAATATTTCGACATTACTTATGTCAGTGGACCTTTCAGTTTTTGAATTCTTGGGCTTAATCTCTTTGGTTTGAAAAATTAGCCTCGAAAATAAGCCCATCTCGAAATGAAGCTCATGAGCTTATTTTTAAGATAGCATAGGCTTCTTTTCGAGAGAGTACAGTACATACACTGTACATGAATTTAAAAAAAAAAAATAATTAAAAACAAGCTTAGTTTATAAAGTAGTTTAGGTGATTTAATGCCAGTTAAATCCATCTACGATACAGATTGATGTTACAGTTTACTTGTTTATTGTCTATAAATAGCATAAATTCGCAAACGTTACCAGCATTCATGAAAATAAGCCCCCCTCTTTATTAATTTGCAAAGGAGCCTCGAAAAGAAGCCTATTCAATGTTCGCAATAAAAAGCCCAGGGCTTCATTCGAGGTTTTACGGTATGGCATTTTAACTACTAGGCCTATCTTACGCACACAGTCACACTATCTACCATTCGTGAAAGTGTCCAACAGGAAGCCAGGCCTTACGTGCCTACAAATGGCTTTCAGTTTTCTTTTCATTATTAATTACAGTATCTATTGATTCTGTGTGATTCGATGAGTCAGAAGTATAGTTTTCATATCTAGATTGCTTTTATATTTATATAAGATGAAATTAAAACCACATGTATTATCCATCTCACTGTGAGATTAACGATAAAATAGGCCTAATACCAGGCGCGTGTAACAGGGGTATTGGGCAGGGCTGGGGGAAGGTAATAATTTACAATATAGACCACAAACGTGTGTTTGAAACTAAATATAAGCATAGTGTTTTATTTTCTCTATGATATAAGCATTCATCATGGTTTTATTTATTACAAACATATTCTTTTACCATCATTGAGGCCCTTCTTTAGGTAAAAAGATCTACTTTAAATGTTTGCTTTCTATTTGAGTTAACTTAGATGGCAAAGGAGGACAAGCACAAGTCACCTCACCCTCAAAAATGCCACTTTTTTAAATTTTTTTTTTAAAGTTTAGGTCTTACGTTATATACAGTATGACCAAAACACGTTTTTTTGAAACTGAATAAAACGATCTATCTTAAATTTTCTTTCTTGAGTTCTATTATGTGTTGAAATAACTTAGAATGCTAACCCTAATTCGCGCGCCAAAAATATAGGTTTTTAATTCTAATTTCGTCGCAATTAATAAAAAATCCCTAAAATGTGCAATTTTTTGAGAAATTGGCCTACTGTAACAAGAAATGCGCGCGAAGCGCGCGAAATTTGGGATTTTTAAGCACATTCAGAGGGGAAGAGGCATCTTCAAAAGGTGGGGAAAGATTTTCCACAAATGGATATTTTCCCATTGTCTTCCGGTGGTCACGCCAATGTGGAGAACATCTGGCGGCTTATATCAAAGGAGCTATGGAAACTTTTTGAAGTTGAGAAGGGGTTGCAGGGTGTTGTGAGTCCGGTCATTAGGCTATATCCTCCTTTTTATTCTTGTCTTTTTTTTTTATCTTCGCTTTTTCTTTTCCTTTTCCCTTTCCATTTCTTCTTTTTTTCTTTTTCCTTCCCTCTCCCCTCTTTCTTTTCTCTTATTACCCAGCCCGGTATGACGGCTTGGTCAGCCCAGTTAAAACCGTCAGGGGGAGGGGGCTGTCCTTTCCCCTGCCCCGCCTGTTACACCACTGCCTACAACATTACATTGTTCAAAATTTTAATCATTTTAAACGCAATCTATCGCATGTTCGTCTAAACTTATTATAAAACAAGACACGATACTTTCAAGTGGAAATTAATTTTGGTCCTTCTCGAAACTCAAAATATAGGCCACCTGCATACAAAGTGGGGGAGGGAAAAAATTTACAGTGAAAATAGTCGCCGAAATTTGCGGACTGTCGAACAGATATGTGTAATTGGTTGAAAACATACATTAAAATTTCAATTCAAAAATAATTACCCACAATGTCCTTTTCTGAACTTTCATTTTCAGGTGAACCAGCAGCAGAATAAATTAAATGGTGCAATAGAACTTTCCTGAGTGTCAATCAAACTTAACAACTGACCAATCAGAACAAGGCAAGGAATACGCGTATGTATCACCATGGAGATTATACCTCCATGGTATCACAAATGCACATGTTTGCCATTGGTTTTACAGTTACAGTTGAACATGTTTTACATTACACTGTCGTTTGTGAGAACTTAGCAATAATATCCAAGGGGCGGAACTTAACGGAAAGGTTCATTGGCAGCTAAATCGCCTCGTTGGTGGCGCTGTCTTAAGAACATTGTTCAACACATAAATGTCCAATTCATTTATTTATTACTTACCGACTTTATTTTTTCTTGCTTAATTTGTTTTTACCTTTTATATTTTCATTAGTTTTGTTAAGATTACATTTGTATTAGTTGAGATGTTTGATGCATCACCTGCTAAGTGCCACCGATATAAATGGTGTATGTCAACAAATTATTATTATTATATATTGATTCATGCTTCATTCAGCCATACACATTCACAAAAACAATGAAAATTGGACAAGCAACAAATTTTACCGTATATTACCTAAGTTGGCTAGAATTGATAATAGTGATGAACACTCTAGCTCAAAAGCCTACCAACCCAATTAAATGTACTCTATCCCGTCTGTTAAATGCTAAAACAATTTGAATTGCGTTGGTAAGTTGGCTAAATCATTAGCTTTGAAATTAGAATATACATTAATTTCTTCATCAATTAACAAACACATGGAAAATTTTTAAGTTTTCCCAGATTTATGTGTTACACCAGATTTATTGGGGTGAAATTTCATGAAATAAAATTACAAATGCTTTTTTGAGTTAAATTTTACTAAAACGCTGTGTACTTGTTGAACTTGTCAAAAAAAAAAAAAAAATACTAGTACACAAGGTAATTCAGTGAAAGCAAAACCCATATGTATTAACACGCAACTTTATTCAAGTTTTGAATTATTAACAACTCTTCTCACCAAATCTTAATCAGACATCGATATCTGTCAACCAGATATCAGAAATAATTAATTTTATAAATTTACTTTCATTATTATAGGCGATACAGAGATATAAGACGACCAGATCATGTTATAAATTCATTGAGCTCTTACTAACAGAATTTAAAACAAGTTCAATTTTATGTTGTATATACTGTTATATCAAGTTCTCAGTAAGTGAGAAGAACTTTCTAATGACCTGATAATGGTTATGATACTGATAACAATCATTACATAAAGATCAAAGTGAAACAACGTTTCATTTCATATTGTTCATAGTTTCACTATGATCTTCATAGTACAGTACATATGTAGATACCACCAATATACAGGTCTCCCTCCAATCAAAGACATGTTCTATGGTCTTTACTGTTTTGGTCTCTATATTAGAATAATAAAGGTAACACAAACACTGTTAATTTAGGAATACCGAAGTGGTTTCTAATTGGCGATGGTCTTTAATTAGAGGGAGCCTTGTACTTTATTATAGACTTGAAAATGTGTTAAATACAAATTGCATTGTGTAAATATATATTACAACAAATTAACTACCATCTACATGTCATCTTTTTTTTATATATATCCAACAGCGAGAACACTTATCAATCACAGAATTGAACTACATAATGCTTTATAAATACTGTATACAAGTATCAATTTGTGGATTAATAATACTATCATTACCTCTGCACAATATTTATCTACCCTGCGCATCCATCCATCAATCAATCAATCAATCAATCAATCATTCATCCATATGACCAAACTTACGATACATGAGTAAAAGAAGTTAAAAGAATGTCAAAGAGCAAATACAAAGCTTAGAAAGGTAAAATACGTGATGTAAAAAGCAAGCAAATCATGAAAATGACAACAACGTTAAAAACTATTAACAACAATACATTGACAAATTTGTCTGCCCCGCACACAATTCAATCATTCATTCATTTGACCAAAATCGCAAGTTTATAAACAAGATACAATAGTGAAAGAAGTTAAAAAATTGTCAGACAATAAAAACGAAGTTTAGTAAGGTAAAATATGTGATGTAAAAAGCGAGCAAAACATGAAAATGACAACAGCGATAAATACTATTAAAAACAATGCATTGACACATTCGTCAGCGGTCTGTGTAAGTGCTTGTATGATTCGCTGACCGTTTATACAGTAACAGTCCGAGTAGATCTTTGTTGAAAAACATTTATTCGCACAATATGTCTTGTTGCCTTGCCGTCTCATTGCATTGCGTTGTCTGCCGACACAGTGTGCGACAGGTTGCATCTACCAAACCACAGCTCCAATTAATAATGAATTCTTGAATCCTGTAGCGGTATTATTTTGATATTCACTTAAATATGTCCCTGATGAAATAACATTGCAACTGGTCCATCTAAATTCACTATCATATATAAATTGATACTAAATACGCTTATAAAGATACAATTCATAGAAATATGTAAAGTAATATTAATAATTTCAGTAAAGAAAGTGTTTAGTTATTATTTACATAATGTTCTAACAGCAATCAACACGTTGACAAATTTTATTTCTAAGTAACATCCTGTCCTATAAATATTTGTCTATAAAAACAATACCTACTAGCCACAAACAAGATAAAAGAATAACCCATAACTTGCAGCGTCTTTGTGTGAATCGTTTATGGGTGTGGCCTTTAACTACCTCAGCCGCTGTAAAGAGGCGCTTATAGTAGCTACATGTTCACATCATTCGACAAAAAGTGTTATAAGGCAAAAGTGTGTCAGTAAGATGAAGCTTTATGGTTATACATTTTCCTTTGCATTACAAACAAGCCTCTAAATACCATGTGAACAAACGGTAATGTAAGGCAGAAGGCTGTCCATCAAAGAATTGTCCATTATGAGAGAAATGTCCATATTACGGATGTCCATTATATAAGGGGAAGGGAGGTGTCTCTATTTGAAGGGGTGAGAACACAGTAACAGTTCAAAGGTGTAAGGGTATAAACAGAGTAGGGCATACATTATTTTTAATAAATAAATCTACAGCACATGCAATTATCTATAGCTGTCCCAGTACCAGTATGTATAACATATCATTATATAATGTTATCTATATTTCTATCCTTTGTGTCTATCAGTTTCTGAATCATACTCTAGCACCTCCTTAAGTTCTTTTATAAATATAGTGATTTGGAATGAAATTAGTCATTTTTTTTAAGATGAATTTGTGTAAGCACCAAATCAAGGTGAGTCCAAAGGAGAAACATCTTCAATCTGACTGTTAAGGCCTGTCCAGACTATCAAATTGTATTTTACAAAAACATGTGACACGCCTAAATATGGTCATGATGACATCACATCATGACCATATATAGGCACATCACGACTATATATGGGCATACAACCACCTGGACAGAGCTTTGCATGTTATCACAACAATTACAGTACTTTCACACTAAATTGAACCAGTTTTAACGAAAGACCTATAGTAATTACAATTCTCGCTAACTCTGTAAGTTGTTTATGACACGTCAGTAATTTTATATTATATATTAAAATCTGAAATATTTACCATTAAATTTTTATAGAAAACATTAATCTCAGCTGTTGTATTCATTGACAATAAACTCTGATATTCTACTATTAAAGAAAAAAAAATAAAAAACTAAAAAAAAAGAAAACACCACTAAAGGGCGACACTTCAAAAACAAACCACTGAAAGGAATAAAGAATGTTCACACAGAATTGCCTATACAGGTAACATTACTGAAATACATTCCTAAACCACCACCTTTTCCTTTGCTCTCTTTTTATATTTTGTATCCACCCTCTTATTAACTTGGCCACAGAAGGAGAGTTTATGTCGCAGCTCATGTCAGGTATCCATCCTACCTGCGAATCCTTCTACCAGACTACGTAAGCTAGATTATATGCATTAGCTATGTAGTGACTCGATAAGAAGAAATTAATTTAGAAGTTTGCAAAACAACGTATAAAAATTCTCGTCTTACTGATGTTATTATATTTTTCCAGACCTTTGTTCTTTTTGCGACCGTTGTTTATAATTATAATTAACTATATAAGTTTTTGGAGCTATAGATAAATGCAAGCAATAATAGATATTAAAAATCATAAAAATAATTTTTTTTTTTATAATGCTTGAATTAACACAAAAATAATATTTATAATTTGGAATACAATTTTTGTACATATTGCAAGGCATCAAAATATACTCCTGAATTATTTATCTTTCAACCAGATTGCAACTTTACATATTATATTAAACTTAATCACTATTAATTAATCTAATATTCTATGAAAATATTTAGAAAAACATTAATAAAATTTAAATAGTTCTTATTCTATTTATTCCTTTTATATTTATAATGAATTCACTTACCTATCATAAATTCATGTGTAACAACTAAAATTTATATACACTGTCCATTTAATAAAAGCTAAAAATATCATTTAATAAAAGCTAAAAATATATCATTCTATTTCATCTTGTTGTACTTCTAAATAGAATAACTGTCAAATAGTCCTTTCTGAAATTTCCTCAAAAATACCTCTGGTAATACATTAAGAGTTATTTTGTGATACACTCGTCTTAATGCCCTTTTTATATCAATGGTGCCCCTAATAATCGTAGCAAAAGTGTCCTTACCCCTAAAAAGCCCAAACTTGAGGCTTGACAGTCCCTAAAGGTTAAGAAATGTCAATATAAGAGTCTGTATTTTATTATATATCATTTAAATATTTTATAATATATGTTTATGGAGTGCCAATTAAACTGATAAACTGACCAAGAACTGGACCAGGAATGTGTGTGTCTGTGTTCTACAAACATGGCTTGTGTTGGCTGACAAATCCACATATATTGTATTAAAACCTGAACTATTTAACATTAAATTATTATAGAAAATATCAATTCTCTACTGTACTCTCTACTGTCACCACTAGAGGGTGACACTGCAAAAACAAACCATTGAGAAGAATTATGGAATGTTCACACACACAATTGCCTATTACAGGTACATTACTGAAATATAATCCTTAAAACAGTCACCACACTTCACTTTTCCCTCGCTTCTTTCTATATTTTGTATTCACTCTCTCATTAATATAACTTAGAATCAATGACTCTTTGTTGGCATTGCGCATTAATTAGTTCACCTTTTGGCTTACCTATATTTTCTAGATCTGTTTTTGTTTATATAATATCATTTACCCTACCAGTTAATAACACACTTAACTAGATATAAATTTAGAATGACAATTGTTTAGTGATACCTTAGCAACAAAACTCTGCTTTGTATGGCATACCTGATTTATACCCAAAATTCAATTTTAATCTGTTTCACCGGAGTTTGGAATGTACAAGTATGTAGTGACCGCATAGTAATGAACGTAGGCGCCGCCTGCGACAAACAGGTGCCATATTGCATGAGAACATGGAATGATTCCGTCACTTTTGAAGAACGCTGTTCCAAGGACGTAGATCAGTCCACCGAGAGCCATTTCGGACAAACCGTCTGTGTTGATAGATGACTGGGAAGTCAAAATAATATTCAAATATTTTAACCTAAAATGATTTCCATACAGGTTTTATTATTACTATGTACATATTTATTACCACTTGGGAAATAAGTCCTTTGGCAGAAAATTATAGCATCATCCCCCAATATCTTGTTTTATTTTAAACCTTTCAAAAGAATATAAAAGGTGTGCTTAATCTAACGTGTGCTGTGTCTATAGAATGCATGTTTGAGTTTTGAACTCAATTCAAATTCTATGAGAGCGCCCCCTATCTTGTGGTAGTACTTTGTTTTTCGTTTCATTGTGTACATGCAAAATCAAGACAGTCAGACCTCTTGTAATTCTACACTCTTTGGATATATGCTGCTTGTAGTTGCTACAACAAGCAGTCTATATCTGATGAAATTGTCATTCAGAAATAGTGAGTATTTCCTTTATTCTGAGGAATTTCTCCATGGAACTTACATCCTTGAAACCAGATGAAACTATTAAACTAATTTTAATTGTGTTTTCCCCATTGGATAATCCATATTCTAATAAACAAATGATACTATATCGTTAGTATGCCACATGTTAAATTAATATTAATTTAAAAAAACAAAAAAACTAGGATGACATACACATCAAATGTTCTTGCTATAATAAAACTCACCAATGATGTTGTCAAGACGATGGATATAGCAGGCAAAAATCCGATCACAAAATAGAAGAAGGTTTCAAGCTTTTTATATCTGCAACAACAATAAGTTATGAATATTTAATACTATCATATACCTGTGCTCCGGGATGCTTTAGTTTTTATGTGACATAGATAACTTGCGAATGGCAAGCAAAAATCCAATACAATAACAAAATAGAAGGTTTCAAGTTTTTAAAATCTGCAATAATAATAAGTAATTAATATTTAATATTAGCATACACCAGTGCTCTGGGATACTTTAGTTTTTATGTGTTGTAAATAGCTTGTGAAAGATGGCTTTCAAGGTATTCATTTTTGGTGGTTTTTGGCATTGTTTTCAATGTCATCCAATATCCAGCCTAGAAAGTTAGCTTATCGTCTTCGTCACATACTATAGAAACCCCAGTGTATTGAAAATGAGCACATTCTTGCCAGAGGTTTTGGAGATATGTGATGTTACGCCGAGGTGCTAACAGAATTAATACACAGATAATATACTGTAATAATGGATAGATATGGTATATTAGTGCAAATTTTTGTATATTTAATGAAAAATAATGAAATATTTATTATTATGAGAAACAAAAAATGAGCTTTCAAAGAGAAAAAATAGATTATAGTTATAATTACAAACCAAAGATGAAGGTGCTTTATGTTAAAGTAAAATCAAGTCTGAGAACAAAATAGTATTATATTGATGATAGAACATTCTTGAATTCAGTTTAGGCCTAATCAAATTTCTTTCTTAATTAGATTTTTTAAAGTATTTCAGTATGTCTGACAACTTTAACAATATTATGTAATTACAGCATTTTTTTTAATGGTTTTGAAGAATACAGCAGGTGGTCTCACTAAAAAGAAGAACAAACAGATGGATAGATAGAAACACTACTAGCCAAATTATAAAAGAACAAGGCTACAGAAAACAAGGGTTGAAATAAAGAACAGTCAGACACATAAACCAGAGCTTTTACAATACATAAAGCTCTGTCCAGACTATCAAAAAACTGCTGTATGCCCATATATAGTCATGATGTGCCTATATATGGTGATGATGTGATGTCATCATGACCATATTTAGGCATGTCACATGTTTTTGTCTAACAAAATTTGATAGTCTGGACAAATCTTTTGACCTTTGTCAGTAGCTAGTAAATGAGAACAGAAGTCAGAAAATAACATATAATATCATTTTAAAATGTTATTTTTTAAGAATATGCACCCACCAGTATGTATTATATAAAGATACAAAGATATACTAATGAAGATGCAAGACAGTAATAAAACAAAAAATAAAATTTAGAGGATATATACTGTATAGCTCTTTGAAAATAAAATTCACAAGCATATTGGTAGTAAAACTGTATATAATTGTTTAAAAATTTGTATTATTATCAATATATAATTATAACTTTGCTGCAGCTTTTCCCAAATTGTAAATGTACTTGCCTGTACATACTATCTTAAAGTGTGGCTTTATCACACACATTGAAGGCTGCGGGAGCGACAGAAATATACATGAGAAATCAACCGATCAATTAATCAATCAATCATGGAATTTACATAGCGCCAAACTCCATAAAAAATGTTTAAAGGTGCTAGTACAGCCAACTCTGTAGCCTTCTCTTGAAAATGTCAACAGATTGGGTCATCCTCCAGTCTTGAGGAAGAGAATTCCACAGAAGAGGTGTGCCACATGTGAAATAAACTATTGCATTAAAATATCAGCCCTGGTTTTACTTTTGTAACAATGATATATCATAAATTAATACTATACATCTTTATATACCTTTTATTACTGAAACATTTAATATTCAAAATCGGAAGGCTTACAGAGTAAACAAAACAATATAAACAGTAGGTTTTCAGAATTGCTCACGAATATTATTAAAATCAGTAATCTATGAACAATTTTATAGAATAATAATACTAATAATAAAAGCATTTTATATAATGAAACAATTTTATCTTAAAACCCACAGAAAAGCCAATTGATTTATCAATATACTGAAGGGTGCACAGGATTGGATTGGATATATTTGGTGTGAACACCAAAGATAACCCACGAAAGTCTGAAAAGGCAACCTATTTCCAGTGGGGTCCTTCTGGTGGTGATTGAGCAGTACACCAGGAGACAATCAGTCTACTCATTTCAGAATAGTGTACAGCGTTCTTTAATGGGCATACGGGCCAAAATGCACACAAGACCAACGGCTTAAACGTTTCATCTGACAGACGGTGGGCTATCGTAACTTGCATTTCAGATGGGAATTGAACCAGGGACCCAGATTAGAAGTTAACAAAAAAAATATTCAAGTGAACAATCTTGAAGGTAACCTTGCTATAAGAAAAATAATGAAATTGCTAATATAATGAAACCTACTTTTCATAGAAACAGTAATTATAAGAAATCCCGAGAACTGCCATCACCCAGATAAACCAACGCATTGTCTGCCCTAAGAACCCCATGTCACGAAGTGTTAGCCTAAAGACAAGAGAAAATTTAAATTTATAATAGCAATACAAAACGTTCATACAAAGCATAATACAAATAATCCTACATATATACATTTGTTCCAGACATCACAATTAAAAGAATATCAATTTAACACTGAAAACCCAACTGTGCATGAGAAACACAGATATTTATTTGCGTTTTTTTTTTAAGGAGATTGAGAACGAAATAAAAAATGGTAAGAAGAATACAGCTCTAATAAAAAAAGTGAATTAATAATTGGATGTATTAAAACTCTATGAACAGGTGGAGAGAGGGTACAAGGTAGAGAGGGAGAAGGTGGAATTATGAAAGTGAAGAAACTGATCTATCAAGTCCCTCTTGCAGAAGAGAGGATGTGCCTACCAACAACTACCTGAAATGTCTCTTAAGAAGAGGACAAAGCTGTTTAAGGAGTTGTGTATTTGATGAAAAAAAAACACATAAAAACAGAGGAGTAGACTTACCAAGGTGTATATGATGAAGCTATAAACAAGTAGATCACCGCTCTGTCACTCACATGCAGGTAGAAACGTAGAGTGCTATAAAAGAGGCAACATACTCTACCAATATTTCATAATAATGATAAACAATAGTATTAATAACTAACCAAAAAAATAGTAACTAAAACAACATTAATTATATTATAATAATAATAATAATCCTTTATTTCTCCTTATTCTAACTGGAAATCAGAAATTTGGTCTGGGCTCCTGAGGACTGTAGTGCAGCACCACTGAACTTAACTACAACATATAACGGGCATATACAGATACAAACAATGTCCTTAAAGGCCAACTCAGACAGCCTGACCCGATTTATCGTCGGGGACAGTCTTAAGCCGTCGTGAGAAATATTAAACTCGTTTAATATTCTACTACGCGACTGCCCCCGACGCTCACCATCGCGTCTGTGTTCGACTAACACAGACCCGACGCGACAACAAATCGCGTCGGGCTGCGTCGGCTCTCAGTATGCGGGTTATTTGAGAAGCCAATCGATCAGACTCCAATTAAAACCCAACACTGGCCAGGTTTGAACCAAGGTCTTAACCCTCTAGATACCGTCTTCGACTGTAGTCGAAATTGACCTCAAACCGAGAATTCCCATTTTCGACTGCAATCGAAATTTCGTGACTAAAAAATAGGTGGTTTTCAAATCGCTCTTCTGTTTTTATTTTAGCTCCAATACGGCAGAGATTTTGAACACGCATGCGTGAAGCCTTCTGTGTGGAATAGGAATGTTTTATATTTGTTTTTATTTTTTTTGGCTATAATTTATTTTTTTTCGGTTTTTGCTGACGATTTATATGTAGCATTTTTCTGTAATTTCTATTATATTATATATTATATTACAGAAAGTTCCTAAAAATCCACCAGAACGACGTATACTCAAAAAAAGCAAAAAACCTTGTTACACTGCAAAAGAATCCGGTATTCAAGGGTTTGCACTACAAAAGAATACGGTATCCAGAGGGTTAAGCACAAGAAGCAGGGCCAACTGATCGGCTCATGCATGCAGGTTCAGATAAATAGTATCATCCAAATAATCAAAGATTACAGAAGAATGATAAACAAAATGACAATGTAATGTTATAGCTTTACCTTGTTTTCCCACTCCAGGCCACAAGATGAAAAATGGTGGACACACTAAAGAGACAAATGAGAGAAAGGCCGTATATAATGGCAGAGTACTTGTGCTGCTCGGTGGTAGATTGGTGGAGCATACATAGGCAACCTATGCAGCTTGGGATGATCCACAGCTATAAAACACAGACAAATAAACATCAAAATGAATTTTAAGTTCTAATATTTGATCAATAACCTAATCTATGCATACCAGTAATAAATGTATAAAATGAATAAAGTCATGTTGCAACAGGGGCTTTGCTAGAAACATGAGATAGGCTGTCCAAAATGGAAGCCAGTGGGCGTGGCTTCTATTTTGGATGGCCTATTTCACGAGCGGGCCACGTCCCTCCCAAACATAAGAAAAAACATAGAAAATTATGATCTTAGAGGGCATTTAAAGTGTTAAATGTTGGAATTTTGTCTTCAAAGAAATTGTGTTGAATTAGCTATCACAAAGATATTTCAGTTATATACGTAGATTGCTATGGCAAATATTGCCAAGCTGTGCAAATATTGCATCATCATCTCTCACCTTTAGTCTAGTGTAAATTCTACTCTAGGTCCTCAGAAGTGAGAGATAGGCCTAGACCTACTGTATTTTGTTGACTAATAAAATTTAACTGGTGAGGTTATCAACAAATCTTCTTTACGGTATTTAATGAATTAATTATAACCAGAGAGTTAAGAACAAAAATATTATGTCAGGAAACCGAATCTCAAGTATTGTATTTGCAGAGCCACGTGCATGAGCTGTGGGCATCTATTTTCCAGCGGGGTATAAATGTTTTGAACACGAAACATGTTGTAAGTGAACTTTTTACCGTGTAGGCAATAGTTAAGCCTTACATTTTTGGGAATCGCCACCAAAGATTTGAAGAATATAGAGAATGTGCTAAAGGTTGAACAGGCCCAATTAGGCTAGGCCGAGCTGATTAGGTCAAGCCGTCCAAGCTGTCATGGTAAAAGTGGCCGTCCTAAAGAAGGCTGGATGGCTCGCTGGCTAAGCCTATTTGTTGGAACCAACTCAATGGCTGTTAATAATTTACTTTTAATAATTAGAATCTAAAAAGCTTAAAGCTCTGTCCACACTATAAAATTTTATATGACAAATATAATACCCATATATGGGCATGATAATGTCAATTGAGAGCAGCTTAGCTCAGTCGGCTAATCCGGTGGTAGCCACTGTGTGGACGCTGAACCGTTGGCATCTCTTGGTCCCTGGTTCAATTCCCATCGCTGCCTCTCCTTGTATTTCAGCTAGAGGGCTGAAATACAAGTTACGATGGCGCACCGTCTTTCGGATGAGACGTTTAAGCTGTTGATCCCGTGTGTATTATGGCCCATGTGCATTATGGCCCATGTGCACGCTAAAGAATGCAGTACACTCTTCAGAAAAGAGTAGGGGATTGTCTTTCGGTGTACTGCCCAATCACCACCAGGACGAACCTACTAGAAATAAGTCTTCTTATCCCTGGTGTTTACACCAAAAAAAATCCAACCATATTACACCCAAATATGAACATATTACATTTATTTGTCACATAAAATTTTGAAGTGCTGACTAAGCTTTTAAATTCCTCCTTACCCCATGTGTAATGCAATTTGCAATGTGTTCAATGTTTGTTGGTTCATACATCATATTCTTACCAGCTGGTTTGTTCATTAGTCTAAAAAACAAAACACAACAAACCAAAGATGGTATTATACTGTATTTGTTAGCAGTTTACTTGCTCCTGTCTGGTAGTTTTCTCTAGTTTTTCTGTCATTTATATTATATAAATATTTCAGTACTGCCATTAAAAGTCAATTTTGAAACTCATACAAAATTAATTTCTATAGCTAATTATTGAGGCATTCTCACAATATTGCTATTGAAGTTTATACAGTAGAACCCTCCTATGGGGCACCTCTATTAAAAGGACACTTTTTTGTCCATAATATGAGGAAAAGTATAACGGTCAGCCCCTATTCTGGGAACATCCCTACGGACATATCCGGAGTATCAATCAAACTTAACTACTGACCAATCAGAAAAGGGACAGCAATGTGCGCACATCTAACAAGCACACGTGTTGTCCCACAAACATCTTGTGTGGGACTTTACATATATATTTTCATTTAACCAAGTGGAAACATAAGCAAAACTTACATTGGTTTCACCCATTTTTCTACTTGGTTCAACAAAAAAAAAAAAATCTCTAAATATTTTTCAAGCTGGAAGCTGGTGAATTAATTTTATTTATTATATTATAATTTATTGTAATGAATTATAATATAATAAATAAATTCATTTTATTTATTATATTATAATTTACTCTATAAATTATAATATAATTTAATACAAATAAATAAATTTATTTTATTTATTATATTATATAATGTTTTTGCTAACTAAACTTGTGGCCTTTCTTCTAAAATGCTTCGTAAAGCCGACGAATCCAATTCTGCTCCCTATAAGTGTTAGACGATGCAACACTGTCTGATGATTGTCGCTGGCAGTTTGAACAGATTGTCATTAAAAAAAGCCTGGCTTAAAAGAATAGGCTTACAATAGGCTAAATAAACACTGCATATTTATTATGCCGTATTAATTTATTTTAAGAAAATTGTCATCATCATCTTTGCCATTGCATGCGTCATCACTGATACCCTACATACACCACCTCCATTACCACCACCGAATGCACTGTATTAAATATAACAATGAGTTTGAATTTGAATATCACAATGGAATGTAATTATCCTACTACATACTGTACCTACTTGGAACCACAGCATGACCATGCAAGTCCATCTAAATTGTTGTTCTTCCTCATCCTGGTCTCCTTGCTGCTGGTACTAGTATGCGCCATCAATGTCTTGGTTAATTGATGTCTGTTGCTTGGTCAGTTCAGTCTCTTCTGATATGGAGCCTTATCCAAATTATGTTATCAACCGGGGTTATCAATCAGTCCTGCTGATGATATTAATGTACATTCCTCCTATAAATATTAAAGAAAAGACCATAAGAAAGCTTATCATTGCCGATGCCATCATTATCAATTGTTACTAGAAATTTTACATAACATGACCAACAGTCGAAGGCCTTGAAATAACCTAAGACTACTAACCGCCAGCCTCTCCTTTAACTACTCTAGCTAGGCCCTACTTTAACTTTTCCTCCCTGACACCGTCGATGTCGATGATGGAAGGGAAGGAAACGCCGGTGTGTTCATGCCTAGCTAGGCTAGGGCCTAGCCTAGGCCTGTTTTTCCCGTGTAAATACATGCAATATAAATGAATTTTGAGGAAGGAACAAACAGACATGTACTTATAAGTACCGCATACCTAAATAATACGTAAAAACAGTATCAGAAGTAGATAACAATATGAGAATACACACCCCGATATGATCAACCCAACCCAATTTGGTTTGTTATTCGCAAAGACGAATTTAAAAAACAAAAAATAAAACACCGGCACTGCGTTTCAATTACAAAGTGTCAATAGTGCGTGAGACAATGAGGGAAAGAGAACTTCTAAAATTGTATTCAGACAAGTACACAGATAAATTGAGTGTTAACATACTTTTGGATATTTCTTATTATATTGTGATCGACCGGTATAATTTTAAATAAAAAATAATGCACTTCAATATCAATTTTTAACGCTTAATTGTAAAGAAAAAGCTAACATAAACGCGTGGTCAACCTAATTGACGCGTTGCCCAGATATATTGGCAGAATTGTAGTCTGACCAAAGAATATCTGACCCCTGACCTAGACTCAGCCATCCAACACTGTGAAGACGTGTTCGGTCTGTAAACACCGGTAAATACCGGCATCAAAATGTCATCAAAGGCTACTAGAAAGCGAAAAACAGAAAAGTGTAAACACCACCAGAGTTCTCCTGAACAAGATTCAAATGAAAACCGAGGTGAACATGTGTAAGTAAGGAACAGTACTATAGGTCTAGGCCTACTACACAAGATCTTAAAGGTTAAGGCCTAGCCTAGGCCTATCCGCTCTACAACACAAACAGCTCCTTCCCGGGGTATAACCGAACCTACTAGGCCTAGGGTCAGAATGCTTGGCCTTGTGCCAAGTCTAGGCTCAGTGGTAGTGGGGTAGGCCTAGCACAGGATGATCGTGCCCTACTCAAGGCAACTGGTGCAGCCAACCACAAAAACAACAAATGAAATAAAATTTTGTGAATAAAACAAGTGATTATTTATTTTAAAAAAAAGTTTATTCAGTTGGTTTGTAGGCTAGGCCTATATAGCAAGCAAGGGGCTCTCATTTTGGATAGTTTGTGTTAACTTTGTAATTTTTGGTCTCTTTCAGTCAAGAAGAAACAAATCAAGGAATAAAGATACCATGGAATCGTATGCTAATGAGGTTTATTTTGATTGGTGGACTGATATTTGTTATGCATATATTTTCAAATTCTGATGACCTTGTTGCATTTGCAAAGAGGGATGAGACAGTTCCAAAGCGAAGGCATTCTCTTCCATGTTCCAAGGATTACGCTGATGATTTAAAAAAGTTCAAAGGTGAAAAAAATGACTATTGTTACACCAATCTTAAGTCCTGTCCAGATTATCAAATTTTATTTGACAAAAACATGTGACATGCCTGCCATCATATAATGATCATATATATAGGCACATTCCTAATTCTGATTGGATTGTGTGTTATTGTGTGTATGGATTGGATTAATTTAGACATATCAATCAGACAGAATTTGGAAATACTGTACTGTAGTTTAAGATTGGTGTAACAACAGCCGCTGCTAAAAATTAACAAACAAGTAATATGTATGAGTCAGGCAAGTGGGTTGCAGGGGGATAGTCTTCTATTTCTATTTTGATGATGGTATATTTTTGTTTGTTCATGTTTGTTTTTAGCTTCCAAGGAAGTTTTTTTTTTTAATTTCTAGTCAGTTAGTTTCACTGCCTTACTGAAAACAACTTTTTTTATCCTGAATGAAGAACATAACATTGTTATTTTATTGCTGTAATAAGTGAAAAATTGTATTTTACCTTAAAACCAATGAATAACTTGAAATCTTAAAAGAAATTCAATACCTTGCCAAAAAGTTAGTAGTTTACCACTAAAATGCCGTATAAGTGAGATTTGTTCTAACAAATGAAATTTATCAATTTTATCCTAATTATGACTATTACTTGATTATTAGATTGTGCACCAAAGCACTGTGGAAGAGTTGTCATGGATGGGCTCATCAAAGAAAATGAAGCAGAAAGATTACTGAAGTAAGATCACAAAGACAATCTACTACCTATTCTGAAGAATTTTAGCTCCCTGGTTATTTTGCAAAGGTGCCAACAACAACACTACATGCTGGGGAGGTTTCCAATTCTGCTGCATAAATCTAAACACAAACTAATTCACTATCCAATAGGGTATCCAAAAACTGTGGCATGTCACAATAATGTACCATATTAGGCAGTGGCAAATACAGGGGGTAGTGAAAAGGGACTCATTCCCCTGGCAGCGGCCAAAAAATTCCCATGTGTGAAATCGTTTAGATGAGATAAAAAGGTTGAAACTCTGTAGCTTCCAGATGGATTAATCCATGGACACCCAAAACAAAATAAATAAATAAAATAAATAAAATAATAAAATATAATAAAATAAAAAATAAATAAATAAATAAATAAAATAAAAAATAAATAAATAAAATAAAATAAAATAAAATAAAATAAAATAAAAAATGAATGAATGAATGAATGAATGAAGGAAGGAAGGAAGGAAGGAAGGAATGAATGAATGAATGAATGAATGTTATAGCTGCTTTATTATACATATATTTATATTTATTCACAAATGTGTTTTAAATGCTATATACCTATATTTAATCAGCATAATTTATGTTAATGTAAGTTTTTTTTTTTTGTTCATAGGGTTGCTAAGCAAGGCCTTGCACTTGGAGGTTCAAATGGTGGGGTAAGTTTAAATAAGTACTTATAAGTTCTTATAATTTAATTTAATTTTAATTTTTTTAATTAGATGAAAATTAATAATGTATTGTTTGCATAGGCCTTTCAGTTGGCTGTTTAAATTTAAATTAACAATTGTATTTGTGTGTCTCGTTGGAAGAGACAACTAAAGCCTCAATCGCACTGGATTAAATTTTGGGAATATGTAACCGTTATCACGGTAAACATTTCTACCGGTAAATGTTACCGTCAATCGCACTTGGACTTTTCAACTCGGTTAGTTTTCCCGAGTAGTGTAAAATTAACTATTGAGGGCGGTACATTTTAACCCGTGACATGACCTACAGCCTTCTGATCCCTTGATCTGTTTCGCGCGCTGATTTGCACTTACTTTCTAGCTAGTTCTTACCGAAATGAACAATGAGGCTCGGGATTCGGTTAAGTTAACCGACCTGTGGCTGTTCACATTGGATTTTCCAGGCCGGTCAAAGTAGCTGGGTAGGAATTCCTGAGTAAATTTCACTCCCGAAAACTAACAGGCGGCGACAGTCAAGTTAACCGAGCGGACTATCTGCACTGGATTTTTTCGGTCAAACTCACCGACAAGACGGTTACTTTTACTGAAATAAATCCAGCGCGATTGAGGCTTCAAATTTGTATGATGTGCCCATATATGGGCATGATGTCATATTACACCCAAATATGGGCATGTGACACTACATCTTTAACACTGCATGACTAACTGGAATGTAATTTGCACTGTAGGCATCCATTCTTGATCTTCACTCTGGAGCTTTATCAAAGGGAAATGCTTTTGTTGATATCTACCAGTAAGTTTATGATTAATTACTTATTTACAATAAGATACTATATATCATAACATTATATATATATAAATAATAGTTTACATTTGGTACAACTAAAATTTTTTTGACGTTTGACAAAGTACATTTAATTTGTTTTTAACATGTTTGTCATCATTTTGATCATAATCTTGAATGCATTCATATTTTAACCTTAATAATACTGTATAACAATTTTGAGCAATTTTCTAGTAGCATCATCTTGCATCAGTGTTAATTTAAAATTTGTTTATTGTGATCACATTTTTTTTTATTGGAAAAAAACCCTAGTATGAAAATATTTTATTTGTTTTTCTATACAGATTGATTGAAAGTGGAAGTTTAGATATATTCACAAAGGAAGACTTTGATTTATATAAGTGAGTGGCATGGCATGTAATTACAAAAAATAACTATTAATGATCACTTGACCTCCATTTATCCCCTTGGCTTTAGTTTACTATCGACCTGCAGCCCACATCCCCACACAGGGCTGGAAAAAGCAAACAGGAAGCACCATGAAAGTCCTAGAGGCTTTTTTTGTGATAAATAAAAAAAACAAAAAACTGTTGGGCTATATTATAGTGTATACAGGTAACATTTGGTGCTGGAGGAATTTTGGAGACAATTTACATGGTCGGAGGTGTACCGGTAATCATTTTTTTCCCAGGCCTGTCCAGACATAGTAATTAATTAATTTTATTAATTTTAATGTATTTATTATAGTTGTATGTTTGACATGTGTGGACATAAACACATGTCCTTGGCAGCGAACATTTTGAAATTGTGAAGTTATACACATCACATTCTACAATGTACCTATATTCTTAAGTAATAATAATATACTTTGATTGCTTGGATTGTAGAAAAGTAGCAAGTAAAGTTCAGCTCGCAATTGCTGGTGAGTTCTCAATACCTGCTAATAGTCTTCACCTGACTAAACCAACATTTTTCTCCCGGATGAACACGAAACCAGCGAAAACTATACACGACGAGTATTGGCATCCACATGTAGACAAGGTCGGTAAAGGCAGAACTTATTTTTGTGATTGTTAGGCACGAGACTTAGGATATGCCAATAGCAAACCATGGCTTGGTATTCTTCTAGCATCACATTCCGATCGGTTGGAGCAATTTCGACACCCAATCGTGTGTGAAAGCTAACCAATAGTTAGTAGTTCTTAAGTAATGGATATTGCAATTGTTGCCCATTGTGATGGGTGCTACAATCTTTGGGATTGGATTCTGTGGTTGTGTGTGTGAACATAGGTCTAGTACCGTTTGACCTCCATTTCAAATATAAAGCTGTTTGTGTCTGATTTAGTTTGAATGCGCTTGTTGGTTGTGATCAGGATTAATTAGTTTTGGATTACCAACTGCATCGTAACTGATCGCAGCGGAGTATACCTGAATAGGGTATTAAACACAGTTGAGCCGCATGTGGTATGACGACCCTTGAGTCTTTGGCTAGGAAATCCCTTGTTTTTACAGCCTGACACCGATCACTGTTCTAATAATAACAACCACATGTCACATAAACTTTAAAAAATAACATTCTTTGTATTTTTGTTTTTATATTTCAAGGAAACATACAAAACCTTTGACTACACATCTCTGGTGTACCTCAGTAATTATGGCAATGATTTTGAAGGAGGCCGTTTTGTATTTATTGATAAGAAATCAAATTCAACCATTGAACCGAAGTTAGGTAAAGATGATTTTAATCTTTATTTTTAAATATAAACCCCCTGTATTGTTTGGGAACCACTAGACAGTGATTTAGTTCACTTTTCGGCAATCTTGTCCAGCTAATTGATCTACAATATAGTTTTTAAAGTTAAATTATACATTTCTTAACCTCCAACTATTCATTTCTCATTTTTTGGGTTGTTCTGAGTAGGGCAACAATTATAACTAAGGCAAGACTTTTTTTTTACACCTTTTGAATCTACTGCCCGCCAATATTGATGATTTTGAATAAAAATAAAATTTTATTTTTGGACAAATACCGTACCCGCCACTACGAAAAAAATTGCAATTCCAGAAAAGAAGATTTCTTTATTTTTATTATGCCCGCCGCTGCCTTAAAATCTCCAAAAATGAAAAAAATGAGGTCGCGATAAAAGGTATAAAAAAAAGTCTTGGCTCATAATAATCACCATCAATAGCAGTGATACTGTAATGGGTGATATTATTTTATATGGTAAACTTGATTTGTATTCAACTCTCTTTTTATTTTCTTTTAGGACGTTTATCCTTTTTCACATCTGGATCAGAAAACCAACATTACGTTGAGAAAGTTAGCAAAGGCACACGTTATGCGATGACGATTTCATTCACTTGCGATAAAAAGGAACGAATTGATTACCCAAAACTAAGGAAAAAGCAATAACCACTTAAAAATATAATTAAGGAACACAGTAATATCCAGTACTATAGTCATTTATTATAATTTCCAACACATAAATAATAATTTAAATATTTACGTACAAAACACATCACGATGGTAACTTAAGAATCTTCTAGGTATTCCATTTTTAAGGTTATTTCTTTCATTATAAAGTGAATGTTAATACTGTATTTTAATATTTAAGATTACTCATGTCATAGAGCGTTAAAAAAATATATATTGGTTGCCTAATAAACTGGGATTTTTATTAATATGTTATTTGGACTGAAATAGCACTTAATATGTACAGATAATACCACAGATAAAAAGTAGCATTGTTCCAATTGTGAACAAATATTCTTTTTTCTTTTAAGTTACATATTTTATACCCCTGGATCCATCTTTTTCCTTTTTTTTTTTTGCTTCTATCCACACACTTGTCTTTTGTTATGGTAATTCTTAAATGTTAATATTAGTAACCGATATATACCAGCATAGACGGCCACTTTTACTGCGACGGCTTAAAAAAGGTTCATTTACAACACGCGTCATGTTAAAAACTTTTATACCCTGCTGGAAGATGGACGGTTCTGAGTGCCCACAACGCATGCATGTGGCACTGCAAATACAATACTCGAGATTCGGTTTCCCGACAAAGTTGGTATTAGTCAACAAAATACAGCAGGCCTAGGCCTATCTGTCGATTCTGAGGACCTAGATTAGAATTTATACTAGACTAAGGTGAGAGATGAAGATGTATCTGCATAGCCTAAAAACGTTATGCGAGTAACTGTGGCCGTGCACAATCTTATGTCTATATTTTGTGAAAGCAAATTCAACACTTTTCCTTTGAAGATAAAATTCCAACATTTAAACAACTTTAAATTAAATTTAAATTTTCTACAATTTTTTCTTATGTTTGGGAGGGGGTGTGGCCCACCCATCGGCTCAGCGCCATGCCCACTGGCTTCGTTTTTCTGGCTAAACCCCAGTATACCAGTATTTAGGTTTTTTTTTCTTATTTCATTTGTATTATTAAGTTTGTACTGTTTAATATAATTTGTGTGAGGTAAAAAAAAATAATAAAACAAAACAAACAAACATTAGTTTTCAAAGTTTTGTCTATAATTACCCTGAATCCTCGAATAATGTGATTTTTTTTTTCACTAAGTGCCGCTCTTGATTATTATATTTTGAATAAGCACCGATGCACTTATTCAAGAGTACATACTACATTGTGTGTAGTAAAACAGAGAGAAACAGGGTGTTCAAATTAATAAATAACAAAATGAAGACAGGCACATGTAACCTTTATTTACGATGATGTAGGGTCTATTATATGCCTACCAAACTACAGAAATATGCAAGATATGTAACATGGCAACTGGCATGGAAAGCATCATGCCAATATTTTTTTAGTAAGCACTGCTCTCTAATAAGCACTGCACTTAAGTTCCAAAAATTTTATACAGTGCAGCAGTACTTATTTGAGGATTTAGAGTTTGAGGTAAATCGACATTTAAGTTAGTGAGTTTTGTCATTACTGATGGATTTAATATGAATTTAAATTAAGGAGATTAAAAAATGCTCGCAAAAGGATTACATAAATATAACTTTAAAACCAAAGACATCAAGCCCAAATAATTTAATCTGACTGTTGTAAAGTTGTTCTAAAATGATAATTTGCTAGAAGCTTCACAATTTAACTTTCTAAATCAAGTTGGTAAAATTTTTAAAATCACTGATTTTTATCTGATGTTTTTTTCTATAATTAAATTTTGTCTAATATTATTATGAGTAACTTATGAGTAACTTCACTTTTAAGATTGTATATTTATGTACAGCCTTAGGCATGAGCAATTATATGTATATATGCGCTTTTAATAAATATACGAGTAATGAAACCTAAGGTTGTGTATTATCTTCATCAATGGCATCATGTGATGTAAGGTGAAATAAATCAACTTTAAACTCTAACCAGTCAAATTTTCTTTAACAAAAAACTGATTTGTGCCCAAAATTAGTTATGTGATGGCTTTGAATAAATATACAAGTAATGAAACCTAAGGTTGTGTATTATCTTCATCAATGGCATCATGTGATGTAAGTTGAAATAAATCCACTTTAAACTCTAACCAGTCAAATTTTCTTTAACAAAAAACTGATCTGTGCCCATATTTAGTCATGTGATGGCTTTGAATAAATATACGAGTAATGAAACCTAAAGTTGTGTATTGTCTTCATCAATGGCATCATGTGATGTAAGTTGAAATAAATCCACTTTAAACTCTAACCAGTCAAATTTTCTTTAAAAAAAAACTGATTTGTGCCCAAAATTAGTTATGTGATGTCATCATGACCATATTTAGGCATGTCACATGTTATTTTCAAACAAAATTTGATAGTTTGGACAGGGCTTTATTTACCGTAATAAAGCAATCTTCACATCATCTTGAGTTAGATAATAGTTTTGGCTAAAAAAAAAAAATGCAGATACAGTGATTTATTGCACATGCGCCATTGCACTTGATACTTACATGTCGCAATGAGAGTACTGTGCACAATTTCTTGTGAATTTTTTTTATTCCTAATTTTCCTGCATGTTGGCTGCTTCCATGATTATTGTAGGTTTACAGGCATATTCAAATTAACATTTCAATACTGTGTTTTTGACCTATCATTCTTACAAATGTATTCTAGTACAGAGTATGTCCTTCCAATAGCACAATAATTTTCATCTTAAACAAGACACTTTCTGAATTTGGCACATGTTCTTTGCTTGGTGTGACTAATAAATCTGGCCGTGTGATCAGTACATTTGATTTTCCCATATATGGGTGTGACATGACATCACTATGCCCATATATGGGCAAATTAGACATTTATCACAGGAAACTTAATAATGGTGACAAGATGATAAGGTGTGGACAGAATATATTCCTGGACAACACAAATAAAACTTTTGAAGAGAAAAAATTGTGAACAAAAGCTTAATTAAATGTTAAAAATAAAGCAGATAAAATAACCTAAAGGATCGTGAAAACCAGAAGGACCATAGACTGTTTCTGCAACAAGCAAGACCATGAGATGATGATATTAATTTATGGCTTAAAAATGATTAGGGTAAAATAATTCTGGAAAAAATATATAAGACAACATTAAACACTTTAAACTGAAATAATTAAAGGTTTTTTGTTGTACTATATCTGAAAATCAGAGATCTTCTTTCTCGATTTATTTGCATATGGAAATTAATATCTTATTTGATTTCTATTAAATGAGTTATTTGAGTTAGAGGGTTTTTGTTTCTATTTTTTATTGGCAAGCAGTGTGTCTATATTATCAGGTGAACTATGGTAGGTGTTTTTTTAAATTTTTTTTTTTATTTTTCAAGGATCCCGGCAAGGCCATAAATCACACTTAACCTAAAACAATGTGTTAAATTGCATGAACTTATGACATGCAATATAAAGCACATTTGCAAATATAGAACAATGTTCCATAATGCTTTTATGAGCTGTATCAGAATTTCACATTATGACCCAAGGATTGAAAGTCATTCCTGGCTTATATATAAACATTAAAAAACTTTGTATGTTTTGAAGCAATTTTTTTTATTATCAGCGATACCTAACAGCCAGTCTACTTTACAATTAAACTTTTAAATTTGATCCAGCACACCTGATTTCTAATTGTACAGAATTTTAAAAATAAAAATTTACAAAAAATCAGTACTCAATTTGTAATATACATTAAAACTTATATTAAAAGAAAACATTTAAAAATTTGGTATATATTGTGTGGCCACTATTTATTATCGGTGAAACTAACATTAGGTCTATTAGACATAAAAAAAACCACTTAAAATATGATCTACCAAACCTGATTTCTAATTGTCCCTTTAAAATTTTAATGAATGCTTCAGCTAGAGGGGGCGTGCTTGCTGAACTCAATATTGATGAGTTGTGAAACATATCGGACATTGGTGAAAACGACAACTAATTTTTCTGATAAATATTTCATTTTTTCAAAGAAAACATAATTGCAGGTATGACAAAATTATCTTTTTTCTCCTCTACATAGGCCTAGGGTTACTTGGAAGCATATTTTTATATTCAAACAGCATGATTATTATAAATTTAGGTGTTTACGTTAATACAAAGAACATGTCGGGAACGTTGTGACGCAGGAAAAATTCCAAATTATAGACCACGTTTAATAGGAATTATGTTTTTGCCCTACATGCCATCTTCACCATCAGAAGATAATGCTTGTTTTATAGACAAGGTCAAGTATGTTACAGGCCTATTAAAAGTATTGTGACCTGAAATACATTATTAATGTTTAGGCCTACATCAACAGGTGTATTACTGCGATCACGCACTACAGAACCAATCAAGGAAGGAAGTAAAATTTGTTTATGAAGGTGCTTACCATTAAACAGTTTGTGACAAAATCAGTTCATGTTACCATAAGGTTTTTAATTGATACTCAGCTTGATCACTATTCCTTTGATTTTTAGGATTACAAATTGTTTTGATTAGAAAGGTCTTCCATTAGCCTCCTAAAAAAATGTATTAAAAACATTTGTGCTATTATTGCAGAGATATGGATGAGGCTGAATCTCCTCTAGAAGTGAAGGGGCCTCCAAATGGTGATTACCAACCCTCTTTGGTTGAACTGCCTGTCAATCAACCTAGTGAGATGATGAAAATCCAGCTCACTGTTAATCATGGGTGAGTTAAAAGGAGTATTTTAATATAAGAAAAGCATTGTGAATACATATAAATTACATAAAATACAGTTAAACGCCAAATTTGGACAACTAATTGCTAAAAATGTAGTCAATTTAGTTTTTGTTTTAGTATTTTGGAGAACTCAAGTATTGCATGATGAAGATATATGGGCCACTTTTTCTTAGATTTTCACAATAATTTTTCATTAATCTGATTTGTATAAGTTGTCTAGGGACAAAATGTAACCAAAGATTCTGATAAAAAAGTCAATTGTTCTGGACAGTAGACCTATATATTTATGGGTCTATGCTTATGATAAATTTCTGTAGAATTTTTGTCCATTTCTGTACGTCCGAAAACAGGCAAAATTTCAGAAGTTTAGTAGTACTAGAGAACATCAGGGGCGCCAGGAATTCCCAGACGAGAGGTCCAACTCCCGACAAGAAGGTCCAAGCCCCCCAACCCAGGGGTCCACACACCCCCGCATTGGGAAAGCCTAGTCCTACTTCCCCATCGGAGAAAAATTGTGTTGATTATGGTATTCTTATTTAAAAAGGTTCATTTGATAAAAACCATGCAAGTTAAGAGGTCCCTGTCCCCTGTCGGTAAAGATCTTGCGCTACCAGTGCAACCAATACTATCGCGATAACACACAACACCTCGTACATATGGTAGTACTGCTCGCACTAAACAGTTTTTAATCCCTACAATTTGACAGCTTAGTAAAGACATACCTAAATTGTACTTTCAGCGGTCGATATTTCATTTTTTCCTGACCCCCTTGCTGGGGTCATTCCATATGAATTCAACCAAAGTTGAAAAATCGGGTGCCACGCCCCCTTTTTGGCCTCGCGAATCGTGAACTTCAATTTATAGGGTTTTTGGAGGTCAATATCTTGGTAATGAGACAGAGTTAGGGGCTGAAATTTGGAACTCATGGTATTTCTGGCCCAGGCTTTCAGAATCTGCTGTCAGAATTGATTTTCAAGTTATTGCCCTCTCAAATGTATATCTTTTTATAGACGGAAATCAAAAAATCAGTTTTCAAGTCCTCCCTGTGAGGATTAGAGTACGTACAGATAGTTAATTGTGATAGAATCCTGCTATCTGAGGATAGGACTGTGTGTAAAAGCTGTCTCTTATACACATCTAGATGTGTATAAGAGACAGCTTCACCATCAGAAGATAATGCTTG